TTGTATCATCATTTAAATTTATTTGTGCCACTCAAAACAAACCTTCTTAGCCCACCCACATCATGGGGGAAGTAGTCACTGAATACAATGCACTCTCACTGTTTTATATCCCTCCCCCTCATTGTTGAGTGTTTATCTCTAATTAGTTCTAATAACAGCACACTGAAGATATAAAAAAATGATTTAAATGGTGAATATTAAACTACACTTTTTTAATGATTAATGGAAAAAAATTATCAACCGATTGTTTTTTTTTATAAAAACTTGAGAAAATTTATACGATGTACAAAAACTGTCAAAAAATTTATCTTGTTAAAACATTCATCTGTGAAGCAATGTGTAAAAGGTTTTAAAATTAAACTGTTTTGTTTAGGTCTCACCTGGTAAGCAGCATTGAGGGTCTGTTTGAGGGCACTGCTTGTTTGAGCTGATTCGCCATCTTCACAAAACGCTTTTTCCAGACTTGATAAACATCGTTCTAATGTGCCTGTTAAAAGTATCAGAGAAACGTGAAAATCACTAAGACATTACACTGGCTATAATATACAAGTATGATTTTTTATATGACATTTTTGTTTCACTGATACAAGAGAGAAACTGATTTTGTTATAAATACTGAATACATAGAATTCTATTACATTCTAGAAAATGCCACTAACAACAGTTACAAAGATGTAGCAAAATAGTTTTTTGATTCTTTGATGTAAGACATAAATAAACAAAGTTAACCTCCCAGAGTTCAAAATTAATGGTAGCTAGCTGAAAAAGTCCAGTAGGCTCTAGAATTTAGCCACTGACCATCAAAATACACTGAAATTTAAAAAAAAAATCTGTCTTCAAACCAAACATGTATCAGAAAAACTACACCATGATAATCTTTTCTAGTATCTCATTGTACATCATTCTCACGCATCTTTCATGGGATTTCCAAAGTTTAAAATACTAAATAAAGGGAGCACACTTGATCAGTGTTTGTTTACTATACATATATTTTTGTATTTTTATGTCCTGGAAATGTAACTATTATCACAAACATAGATCTAAAATTCCATAACATATTAAGAACTATGAAACTGAAAACTTCCTGTGGAGGTTTCATATTTAAAAAAAATGACAGTAAATTTTGAAATTATAAAAACATTTATACAATTCTGAAATATCAAAATTTCACATTAAGTGTGAGGATGATACACATTATTGACGGTTTCTATCAGATTATTTGGTACAAATAATTCCAGGTCCAGTCTGTTTATGATAAAATAATCTGTTTGTTTATTTCATAACATTTACTACAGGCTACTTACACTTTGACACAAGTTATAAGCCTAACTTCATAAACAGCATTACATCACAAACTGATACAAATTTAGGGCTTATTTACTTGATAATCAATCAACTGAATAGATGTGATAACTCTAACTTCTAACACTGAACTGACTCACTCATTACTCATTCATTACTCACTTTACTCACATTTATTCCAAACGTGCCTCTACTCACTACATGAATTTTCCCAGATCATAACATCATGTGCCCTCTAGCAAACATCTAAATTAAAACATTGAAAACAAAGCTTACAACAATATGATTATTAGTCATGTGCATAAATAATTGACTTTATAGAAAAATATTTAAAGTCTTAACTTTATTACAAACAATATTTGAAATAATAAAAATATTTAATGAACAAAACATTTATCTTGCTAGATATATTATTAACAATTACATTTTGATAGAGGTAAAACTTCATTTAAATTTTTTTTGGGGAAATTAAGTTTGTTTTTACTTTTTCTTAGAAATGTAAGCGTAAAACAAGTCAAACATTTGATGCACTGACCCCTAAATGACCAAATTACAGAAACTGTTTAAAAAACATCCCAGATAAAGTACTTGAAGCTTAAAACAATTTTTAATAGGCTTAGAATTAAACATAAGTCAAAGACAATTCATATAAACACCACAATAAAGATGAAAACTCAAAAAAATAAATAAACACCTTAGCTATTACCTTAGAAAAAAAGTATGTAAGACACGCAAAAAAAGGCTTAGTAAGTAGTAATAACACAGTTACAGGGTGGCCTAGAGAAAGGTATACCAAAATTATATTTTAAATTGTTATTCATATTCCAACAGAAATAAATGTGACACTGATTAATACTTAAGCCACACTCAAAACAGTGAATCACCTCAACGTAGCTCATTTCAGTTATTGTGTTTATATTCATAAATGAAAAACAATGTGTTCTATATAAAAACATGGGAAATACTAGATATTCAATTTTAGTAGAACTGTTGTTTTGGGGGCCACCCTGTACATCACTAACAGTTGTGCTTTTACAGATATTTTGGTGTGAATGTAGAAGAGTTTTGGGAAAATTCTTAAGAATATTATTAATAAAAACCTAATAAATCAGCAGCTATTACTGTGTGATAAAAAAAGGAAAATATTATCTATTAAATGTACTTTACATTAATGAGTTAAATATACCTGTTAGTATTGAACTTATCTATTAAAGGTACTTTACATTAATGAGTTTAATATACCTGTTAGTATTGAACTTAAACTCATTAATGTGAAGTACCTTTAATAGAAAAGTTCAACACTAACAGGTATATTAAACTCGTTAATGTGAAGTACCTTTAATAGATAAGTTCAATACTAACAGGTATATTAAACTCATTAATGTGAAGTACCTTTAATAGATAAGTTCAATACTAACAGGTATATTAAACTCATTAATGTGAAGTACCTTTAATAGATAAGTTCAATACTAACAGATATATTAAACTCATTAATGTAAAGTACCTTTAATAGATAATGTACGTGTTAGTATTGTATAGATATCCGAGATTACTAAATTATTCAAGGGAGAATTCATGTCAGTTACAAACCTACAAAACTGTCTCTGAGACAATCAACGGATCCAATTAGCTTTGCAGCCACTGAGCTGTTTAGTTTGTTGAGAACTAGGTTCTGAATCTCCACTGTGCAGATCTGAATCTCTCGTAGCGACAGTGACTCTCTTTTCTCTGACAGACATAGCCCTGGGGAAGAAAAAATTGAACTTCTAAACATTTGATGTTAAGCACAATGGTATACATTTGGCTATCTGTGTTGTGGCCACCATGGGTACTGTGAAATGACAGCTAACTAAACTAATGACCACTTAACATTTGCGGAAAGCCAGACTACAAGTTGATGTACATGTAACCATCATTAACATTTGCTGAAAGCCAGATTAAAAGTTGATGTACACATAACCATCATTAACATTTGCTGAAAGCCAGATTACAAGTTGACGTACAAGTAACCATCATTAACATTTGCTGAAAGCCAGATTACAAGTTGATGTACACGTAACCATCATTAACATTTGCGGAAAGCCAGATTACAAGTTGATGTACACGTAACCATCATTAACATTTGCGGAAAGCCAGATTACAAGTTGATGTACACGTAACCATCATTAACATTTGCTGAAAGTCAGATTACAAGTTTACATAGAAGTAAAGATCATTCTCAATCGGTTATAAACCTCAACTCACATTTTACTTAATTGTTGTGTGATTATTTCCATCTTTGGTGTAGGATGTTGTTACTCAAGTATTTTTACCTTGTTGTACAAGGTGTTATTCTAAATTATTAGTCAAAAGAAATTAATACTATTCAAACATATCTGTCAGTTTCCAAGAAAATTATATTTCTGAAGAACTTGGATTACTTTTGCTAACCTTGAAACTGGTGGATGGCTGCTTCCTCCAACAGTTCATCCCTCATTCCTATAACAGTGCTCACAATAAGCTGGCGAATCTCCTCTTGCTTTTTATTTGCTATGGTCAATAAAGAAGTATAAAGTTCAGCTTCCCTCTGACGAATGTACTCCAGGCGTTTTGGTGTCATCATCATGTCTCTAGTCATGTCAAACGCCGTGAGGATGAACATCCGTAAACAGCGGTTGTGGGATTCATTCAGTAATGTAGAAACTTTAGCAAGCAATGACTGTAACATGTGCCGGGTAAATAAGAGAATGCTGAAACAAATATAACATAACATTACTCAATCCTTGTTTAATGTCAACAGAGAAAGTATGCACTCAGGACTATCAAGTTACACTAATATAATAACACATGGATGGGTTTGTAACATAAAAAGTAAAACTATCTAAAATAAGTACTAGTTACAATAAACACTGGCCAAAAAAACCGATTATTTAACCTTAATGTTTGAAATTTTCAAAGTATTAATTGTTTTACTGTCAGACAGCAAATTGTAGAAAAAATATAAAATAATAAAAACCATTTACAATAAAGTATAAATCCACACTAACAGAACAATACCAAATATATATTAATAGTTTCTACATTTCATATAAATTTCATATTGTTCTGTTAGGGAGGATTTAAACTTTATTGTAAATTACTTTACACAGTATTGTTTATTTACCTATTATTATAATAAAACCCATTCTTTATAAGCCAGACGTAAAAAAAAAGTTGGTCAATAAATAATGTGATAATAATAATTCTTTATTAGAGTCATTATTTTTATCCTTTATTAGATGGATATTAAAATTGGACCAAATAATAATGTATCGCCTGTGCACTAGGATAAAGCTGAGTCTGTAATACAGGGTGACCCAAAATTAACATTCCTATTTTAAATTACAATAATTAACTAACTAAGGAAATACAACTATGGAGTTTTCAATACCTCGTGGCCTAACTCAAACAGTTTTTACTGACGTGTCTAGACTTCTACGTGTGCACCATTAGTGGCTTTTATCACTTCTGACTGATATTTGATTTCAGCCCACATTCATTGCAACATGTCCACAGTTACAGTGGCATCTGTTATCTCGGTCTTTAGCTCAGTGATGTTTGCTTTAAGTATACACAAAGTCCTTAACATATCACCATACTTCTTTCGAGTACTGGTATCTATAATTACAATGCACCACAGTCATTGACTTGGTCTTTGCAAACCAAACAATGTATTAAGCCTTTTCTTGCTAGTTTGCCATTTTAAGGGGTAACACTACTCACTAGAGTGAAAAAAAAACATGATAATAAAAACTGTTGGAGTTAGGCTACAAGATGTCGAAAACTCATGGTTTGTAATTTCTTAGTTATTAAATTATTAAATAGATAATGTTGGACCACCTTGTATAATAAAAATGGTCCTACCATTTTCCTTTTCTATCTTGTATGTATCCTAAAAATTTTCAAACTGTGACAGAAAATTGAGAAATTACCTTGGAAAATTTTCAACATTTACTACTAGTTCACTTTCCACTTCATATGGTTCACTACACCACTTCTGACGTTTCCGTTTTGACTGTATGGGCACAGAATAAAGGTAACCTAATCCACAGAGCTGCTGAAATACTGAACATCCTTTCTTTGAAGGAGTAAGCTCAGATTCCTGGTAAAACTGTGAACGAGTAGATGACAAAGCACTTCTGGCATGCTGTTCAGATTCAGTTAACTCGCATGTTGGCAAGGGTTGAGAGCAAACAAAAAACACTGGTTGTTTTGGTGCAATCTTTCTTAGGGCAATCAAGTCATCCAGTTCCTAGAAATAAGAGATTACCTTGTACTCTAAATTCAAAAACACCAGGTTTAGGATTTAATTTGTGAATAGAACTAAACAGCATGTTGTTCAACTTAACTAAAAGAAAGAATGGGGAAACTGATCTACAATATTTCTCAACTGAAAAAGTAAGGTAATTAAACTTCTGGCCGTTGTATTTCATGATACAACACATACAAATATAAAAATTAATCCACTATTTTAGAAATTAGTAGAGTAAAAAATAATTCTTGCTTAAAACAATAAGTAAATATTCTTTAAAGTAACAAAAACAGTTATAATGAACATAAAAACCATGGTTTCTGACTATTGCTCAATTAGTAACAAATATCCCATTTTCTGTTGTATTTTTTCAGTACATTAATCACTGTTGTATTTTCAATCAATTTTTATAGGTACAGAGAAAAACTACTGCTGTTTTGGTAGTTAGTGTCTCATAATTTGAGTCATCACACAATGCATTTTGTGAAAAACTGCAACATTAAAAACATACTATAAAAGTGTGAAATTAAAAATGGACTGTACTTGTTCTGTTATTGTGTCTTCTTTGAAACAGTAAATTATGATTGGGGTCAATCCTTCACAACATTTTTGATATACATGGCTAAATTGATTGTTGTGGTTGGACGGAGATACTACCACTTGGACATCATCTCGTAAAAGAGCATGTCGAAGATGGATTTGTAACACAACTGCACTCAGGTCAGGATCTTCATTCTGTAGCAAAGAGATCTGAATATTAAAACTCCAATGCACATGCACAAGTAAAAATACAAGTAGTTGAAGACATACAAATACATATCAGCTATTATGTCATCAGGCTTTCACTTCCCACGAGTTTCTAATCTGTCTTCTGTTCCCTTGGTTGATTATCTATATATTTTTTATAAACTGTTAAATAACAAAATTTTTAGGAACAGCTGTAAAATACGTAATATTAAAATACAAAAAAAACCCACTAAGAACTAAGCCTAATTAGTAAAACCTCAATTTTTATTATACTGTAATTTTCTAATTATGAACTGTGTTAATACACAAATTTTGTCTACAAAACTATAACATACAGTCTATACCTGTATTTGTTTTTCAGAAGCACTACAAATTGTATGCTATTGATAACTCTTGGTTAAAGTGCATGAAAAGTTTGCCAGCAACATCATCAATGAAGTGTCCTCTGATGAGGACCCAGCTGAAGAAAATTATGCCAATGATGACAGATTCGTGTCGAATGAACTCCTGGAGTTGTTTCACTCAGATTCCAAAGATTTTGACTTTGATGAATTTTTGGAGTTTGAAATTTAGGCAAAGCACATTATAGAAACTTTCGAACACTCTCATTCAAGTTTTTAAATCCGTTAGAAAACTTGAATAAATGAATGAAGCATGAACATATATTGTTGTGTCCCATTATCGCTCAAAAATTGTTGGAAAATAATAAAATAAAAAACAAATTCATAATATTATTTAAAGCACGCGAAATATGTGGGAAATATTGTAACATAAGCCTACAGGTAACTCAGCAATAGCTATGCTACAGCCAACGTTTACATAATGTTGACTTGTAGAAGGTACAGCTTTTACACGGTGCAGTTTATAATTTAAAACTTGTGGTCAAATATACTATGAAATTCAAATTTTTTTATAAAACCAACCGTGCCAATATTACATGAAGAAAGTTCACTCACAAGATATCATCCTTAACTTCCTGCTCATACTCACTTGATGTTTACTCACCTGCACTTCAAGGTTGGCTCTAGGAACAGTATTCAAAGGTTGGTCAACTAAGTGATCTACAAGTTCATAGCTGTTGGCTAAAGCCAGAGTAATCTGTGTCTGGCTACCATAGGAAAAGCGAACCTAAAGAAATCAGAATAACATCAAGAAACTGATTACAATTACTACAACTTCTGCATGCAACCTTACAACTACCAGACTTTAACCTGGATAATGACACTACCACCAAACAAATGGGTTAAATGCTAATTATTTGCTAGTAAAGCACTTTTAAAATTCATATTCTTTCCCACTCACAAGTTAGCTCCGTAACTGGACACCAACATTTCTTATCTGTCTCTCAGTGCCTCTCTGCCATCTACGACTAGCACCCTATCAACAGCTAGTAAGGCGAAAACTCAGACTACAACATGCAAGTATTTATAATAATGTTAGCATGCACTATTTACACTTAGGAAAATGAAACCACTGAACTTTCCTGTTGTATTTTCTAGAACAACCACAATGGCTTAAGTACGAAAACCATTCATTAAGTTCACTGTCCATATTAATTGTAGCCATTCATGTAGTTTGTTCTTTACACCTATACATCCAAGACTCGATGTACACACACTTCTCACCTGTTCTTTAAACCTATACATCCAAGACTCGATGTACACACACTTCTCACCTGTTCTTTACACCTATACATCCAAGACTTGATGTACACACACTTCTCACCTGTTCTTTACACCTATACATCCAGGACTACAAATGATGGAGTTGCAGAGATACAAGTGGACATCTGAACTACTGACGCAAAAGACAATCTGTATGTGTATGTAAAGGTTACAGTTTACAAGTGGACATCTGAACTACTGACCCAGAACAGAATCTGTGTGTGTATCTAAAGGTTACAGTTTACAAGTGGACATCTGAACTACTGACCCAGAACAGAATCTGTGTGTGTATCTAAAGGTTACAGTTTATAGGCCAACCTACTAAACTACTGGCACAGAACAGAATCTGTATGTGTATCTAAAGGTTACAGTTTACAAGTGGACATACTGAACTACTGACGCAGAGGAGAATGTATATGTGTATCTAAAGGTTACAGTTTACAAGTGGACATACTAAACTACTGACGCAGAAGAGAATCTGTATGTGTATCTAAACGTTA